TCACCTAAACCCTGTGAATCCAAAACTATACAAATTGGAATAAACTTTTATTTTCTCTCAATTTGAATGAGACTGTCAAGGTTGCTTTGTTTCTCGGTTTCACCTACAACGTCTGACTGAAAAATCAGCTTTTTACTTGTTTTGTTAGCAACAGTTTAAATTGCTTGTAAACGTAATTATTGATAGTAACTATTGGAAAAAATCCAAAGTTTATCAAAATTATTCAGCGGTTTATTAACCTACTTGCATCTTCAAACAATCACGTCTTTCTATTTGTACATAAAATGCACTTTAAGAAAAAAAAAATAAAGTTTTATTAATATTTCTTGAATTATAAAGATAATCAATATCTAAGCTTATAGTAGATTAAACCTAACAACCTTCATAAATATTTAGGTAATCCTATCAAGTAAAAACAGCATAAAAGTATTTAACTAATTATTAATACATAAAGGGACTTAATCTTCTTAAGTTTAATTCAAAGCACATGAAGTATTTTGTGGATTATTTCAGAGTTATTTTTGTTACTAGAGCTTCTTTACCAAAGAAAACTGCACTTAGCAAATTAAACCTTTGACCGTAAAGCATAGAATTTCGAGGGTTTAGGTTGAAGTGGTCTCACAAACCAAAACAACTAAGACATGATATTTTGTTCAGAATAAAAAACAAATACGACTTTGTAAATATTTTCTCGTTAAAATGTACATTTTTGCAATAGTGTATTTCTATTTCTCACACTACAATAGAAAACAAAACTTTTTTTCAGTTCTTTTCTTTTGCTCTATTCGCCTAACTTCTTTGTCTGCAGATGTATGAAAAAAAACCTGAACCTCTCCTAGTTTGATATCTTGTCTACACGTATAAAGAGCACTGACAATTTCCAGGGCCTAATGCTAATCCACTGTCTGCGTTTTTTGTCAATGAACTTTGGAGCGAGGCATAAGGCGATTATTTTGTTTCATGTTCTATTGTTTCTATCATAATTTTTTATTACTCCAAAGAATGAAGCAGTGTTGGAATGTTTGTAATTCACGACCTTCCAGTAATTGTCTAAATACACAAAAGGCTGTTTTGATATATCAATTATAAAAACATTAGTTGATTTTAACTGGGCCTGCCATACCTGTGCTACTTTGAACACGTGTTTTATAGTCAGCTTCATGATCATATGAGGATCTACTATAAATATGATGATTAAATAAAGACACACTTTAAAGCAGCCAAGAACTTGATGATCACATAAAATTTAGGTTATTTGTAAATAGTCTGGGTTGAATTTCCAAATAAGAACTTACTCTAATAACTGCTCCATGGATATCATGATAAGACAAGGACGATCCCTAACTTCCACTATCACTGATTTGTTGATAAGATAAACAATTGTTCTAATGTGTTACTTGTATAGGTTATAGGTATACTAACAAACTATGAACATTGTTAGAATGTGTGTTAATAATCACAGTAGAATTAAATAGACTAGACATTCCCGCCACGTATTTTGCGGTCAGTAAAGGTACTGTGATAAATATGGGGTTCACATAAGGAATACCCAGCTGAATTAATCCGATTAAGTTAAGAATTCAGACGTTCATAGCCAGACTCCCTTTCCTGCTGAATCTCCATTCTGTAGGAAGACCTATCAGATGATCAAAGTGAGTAAAAATATCGTTTTTGAAACGTGTTTGAAGTGGCTGTGTCATAATTACCTATTCATAAACCAGGCCAAGTAAGCAGTATTTAATATACAAAAGGGTCTACTAACCAAGAGAGTGAGGCCCATAGTTATTGCTATGATATAACACTCAATATACAGGGTGATCATAAAGAAAGTCTCGCAGTTTAACGCATATTTTGGTTCATCTAATAATAAAGTTTCATTAAAAATACAGAGTTGGGTCTGATTATACTTGTTACTATTTTTTTAAACTTTGTAAAGCAGAGTCAAAGGTTGAAATCATATCTTGAAATTATGATTAATACAACTTCAGAAAATAAAGTTATTCATTTAAATCAGACGTTTCATGATACGTTTCAAGGGCTCAAAAAGTTATAGACTACAAATGCTGTTTGATGTGGCAGTAACTGAAAAGAACACAGTAATTCATCAATATGAAATGACGATGTAACAATAAAAGAGAACAGTGGTACTGGGAAACGAGCAACATACAAAAACAACAATAGATATTCTTAACAGTAGATAGAATACCAGAGTTTATCGTTCAAATGATGATACAAATATAAAAATTTGCATGTTACTCTCATCGGGCTAGTTAACAAGAATAAGAGACGTAAGCCGATTAAAAATACAGCATATATACTACTTTTCAAGATTTCCGCCAATTTTCTCAACAAATATATATTTTGATATAGAAGTTGATAGATTTGTCTGAATTTGAGAGATATTATATTTAATTATATGCTTTTTACCAGTTGAAACTAAATGTACTATAAATAAATGCCTCTAATGCGCCCTTGATGTCTTATCAGGGTTTTTTATGCCAACGAGCCCCATCAGTTATAGAAACAGAAGGCTTTCGTTTATAACGTCATTCACCAGGCATATTGAATCTACCGCGTCCTATTATTGTTTTCTATCCTATGCTTTAGCGAATGAAGTTCATTAGGTTATCTAGCCCTGGCACGTACGTACATAGTGCTCCGAAAATATAACTACAGTCTATCTTACAACTCTTTCAGTTCTTGAAAACTTGTCGCAGATGGGGAAAAGTCGTCCAACAGACCTGCCAAATTTCACCTTGTTTGGGTGTTTCACTGATAGATTGTTGCCTGCCCACTTATGGATCCTGCTTGATAGACAGCACGCTTTGGTTGTTGTATGATAGCCCATCGAGTTGGTGGCATTGAATCAAATCATCTCTGCTTCCGGATGAAAAGGTCCAATCTTGTACCATTGACATTTGTAGACGGTCATATATTATGATCACAAACTTCTCCAAGATCTGTATGCCACTATCAAACTGATGATGAATACTGACTGGGTTTTGTGAATGTGCTAGATAGGCACCAAAAACGTTTCAGGTTTACCATACAAACCTTTACCACAGAAGGCAGATATTACATTACAACCGCTGAAGACATGGAAGAATAGGGTTTCACTTGTTTTCGCAGGCCCTACTGAGGAGATTATCTCGTGTATTGAAATCCATCATTAATTATTTCCCTGATCAAAGGCAATTTACATTTTCTCAAGACCAAGCTACTTTAGAGATGATAGAACAGATATAGCTATAATTTCAGCATTTATGTCATTGGCGTTGATCGTGAGTTCTTTGTTGCCCTCCATTGTTGCGAGTCTGGCATATACAAAAATACGGGTGTCTACCTCTTCATGGGCACAAAGTGTCATTTTCTCTCGGCAGATAATTTGGTTACTAATGGTTTTTACTCCCCTTTTCATGATGACTGTGCAATCATGCGCCAAACTGAAGAAGTATTGGTGGAAAGAAATCTTCAACACATCCTTAATGAAATATTTGTCTGATTTTCACTTGCAGTCGGCGTATGATTTCAGCAACTCTGGCTAGGTGAAGAGTATTACTGTATTCAGAAGCTTCTGACAGGACTGACCTTACGTCTTTCTTTTCTTTTTTAATGAAATGAGTACATGCTGTCCTCTCTGATGAGATAACAACTAGCTTTTAACCTTGTTGAGTTCACATCTGGTGATTTAACACCTAGTTGTTCAAGTCGCTTTTTGTAGTGGTCGACTTACTCTGCAATCGTGAGTTGTGGACCACTACCTTCACTGGTAGTCTTTATTTAGGTGATGTAGGTGAAAAGTTTGAAAATGTAATTGGATAAACTTCCTTAACAGTCATGTTTTGCAAACTCTTCTCGAATTTCTTGACATTTAGATGAACTCATTTTCTGGTCTATAATGCAACTAAGCAGGCAGGATGGTACTTAAGTTCCTGTTCCACGACATCTCCAACACTGGGTTTTGTAATGGAACTTCCATTGCTTAGAGTCCTAGCACATTGATTTATTCTGTCATTTAGTTTCATGATCATTGTTTATGTTGAAGTATTGGGCCTGTTACACCCATAAAACACACTATGATGTTTCTGTTTGTTGACAAGTACTTTCTACCTTACTATGGTTCTTTGTTGAAACAGTAGACCTTCTTTTATGAGCACTTTGTAGCTTTGTGTTGTTGAACATAAGTCTACAGCTTTGATGATACGTTTCACTGTTTCTTGTTAATGTTTTCTCTGTGACGTCTCCTTCTTCTAGTCTGGTTGGGTCTAGTATGATTGGAAAAACACCGATAGCATGAAACATAGGAATATTTCTTGCAATGTTGTTACAGCCAGCTTGTTCTTTTTTCTTGTAGGAAGTTGGTGGTGACTTGAGGTCTTCCTTTTTGTACCGTTGGCAAAGGCAACATTTACTCCAGTTTGTTTACCATTTAGACTTTCTAAGCATAGACATTTTTTTTTATTCTAGTAGGTCGATAAGTCAACGAGGGTTTTATATACTTTGATGTATGGGATGCAACTAGATTCATGTCTCTGTCCTACACCCAGCCCGACCGTTTATCCAGTTTCATTTAAGTCTAGACCAATTTGCACACCATCGGGATAATGAAAACAAAAAGAACATTGAAACCATTTATAGATAGCATAATGAGATTCAAAATGATCGAAAATATATAATTAGACACTAATATCACTCAAATTGGACAAG